TTGGGGGGGAGCTTCTTTCAACATGTTTGTCCATTTTTGATGGGTGATTTACAAGTGCACCTCCCCACACTGTGCTGAGTGTTCAGCAGTTTTTGACCAAAACTGGCATGAGCCCCATGCTCCACCCTCCCTATTCACCTGTTCTTGCCCTGAGCAACTTTTGTTTCCCCAGATGAAAAAAGTCCTCAAAAGGATACGTTTTGCTGATGTGGAAGAAGTGGAGAAAAATAAATGGCAGAAGTACTAAAATACATCAAAGCTGATGAGTTCAAAACTGTTTTGAGCAGTGGAGAAAGCATCTGGATAGATGTACTGAATCAGAGTACTTTGAAGGTGACTGAAGTTTAAACAAGCATGAATACACAATTTTTAAAATAAACAAATTCCAGGGTTTTTCTTGGGTCCCCCCTCTTACAGTGTAAGTAATCTAGAGATGACAAAGTATATAGGAGGTTGTGTGTATGTTATATGCAAACACTAGGCCATTTTATATCAGGGACTTGAGCATCTGTGATCTTGGCATCCATAGGAAATACTGGAACCAATCTCCCATGAATATTGAGTAATGACTGTATTCGCAAAATATATCACAATAAAGGATTAATATCCCTAATATAAAAAAAAGCTATCAAAAATAAAAAGAAAATGTATTTAAAACTGAATAAAACTTGGTAAAAGACACGAACAATTCACAGAAAAAGTTACACAAATTGCCATTAAACATTTTAAAAGATGCTCAACTGCAAATTAAAATGTGTAATCTTAAAAATACAATTAAAAATACATTGAAATATCAACTCTTATGTTAACAGACTGAAAAAACATTCAATATCATGGTGACAGACTGATAATAAGACTGGGTAAGCAGGTATTTTCATACATTGGCTGGTGGGATGGTAGGAATAGGGTGGATAAAATAGGGATGGGGTGAAATTTGTTTGAATTGGGAGGGAGGGGCATACCTCATCAACAAAGGTACCTGCATAATCAACATTTATATACCTAACCCTGAATTGTACCCCACATCTTTATAATAATAAAAAAAAGAAATTTATTTGAATAAAGGTTTTTATATTGTTTTGGCTTTTGAATCATGGAAATGTTTTATATATTTACAAAAAAAGGTTAAAAAGCAAATCTTTATACTTAATATAAAAGAAACAAATGAACCTAACTACATATCAAAACAATAAAAAATGAATTATTAAAAAAACAAAAAAGAATTCATTCAGATAGCTTTTGAACACAGTACTCTGTCTCTATTCCTATACTGGGATATAGTCTAAGGACAAAAGAACTATAAATATATCTTAATTTTATTTACTAGATTGTTAGTTTTTTAATATAGTTCTGAGACTATCTTGTTTATATTGTAGATAAAGCAAATGAGTAAATATATTAATACTGAGAATCAAGTCCTTACTATGGGAGAAGATACAAACATGGAAAAGAGGAAGGTGAGGGAGTGAGAGGCTGGATTCAAATTGGATTATCTGTCAAACTCATGAAGGTCCTAGAAGTGATGACACCCTAGTAATGGACAGTAAACCTAGCACCCAGATTTTTGTTTCTAAGTACTATTTCCCACTAAAAGAAACCAGGGATCCTTGGAGAAATGGTTAATTCCAAGGCTGGGGTAGGGAAAGTACAAGTGAACTTGGAATATTATGCTGTGCTAGAAAACAAACAAATGCTCAATGTTTTGTAGTGTCATATCAAGATGACACAGGAGCTGGCTTAATAGAATTTCTACTGATCATATCTGGCATAAATTTAACATTAAAAAATGAGGAAAATAGGGAGGGGGTTACAAAAACTCTTTTTTTTACATATGACTAAATCCAAAATAATAAATATGAAATTATGGAAATGAAAAATACTTATTTTGTGGCTACCGTAATAAGACAAAATCCAAATAATACTTATTTTGTGGCTACCATACATAAGACAAAATCCAAATAATAAATATGAAATTATGGAAATGGAAAATACTTATTTTGTGGCTACCATAATAATACATCCAGGCAGACATCATCATGGATGTTAAAACCATGCACACATTCTTAAAAGTATCATACCACAAATCACTTATTAATTACAAAGAGGAAAATGTAACTTTACCATAGACATATATCGTATAAGCCCCTTAACCAATTGCTTAAACTTAGCATTATCAATAATGGGATAAACATATCATGTACCTCCTGAAATGATCTAATCTGAAGTACACAACATTACCTACCTTAGATGTAATAATGTGAATGAATGTCCTATTCTTAGGAGATATATGTTGAAATACTCAGGGATAAAGGGTCATGATGACTACAAACTACTTTTAATAATTCAGAAAACTATATATACTCAGTATGATACAACAAATGTGACAAAATAATAGTAAGTAGTTAACCTATGCGAACTTTCAATTACTCTGTAGGTATAAGCATTTTAAAAATAAAACATTGAGGATAAAACTCATCAAAACCAAATGAATGAAAGAGTGAATGAGTAATTAAATACTTTTTCCCTCTGAAAAAGTAATAAGGCAGATTTTCTACCCCTACAAGAGAAGCAGCAACAAAAGTTATTTGTTCTCTTAGTCAATATATTGTTTTTTTACTGTTGTATAACAAATCATCACAAATTTAGCTGCCTAAAACAACACAGATTTTATTATTTCACAATTTCCATGTGTCAGGAGTCTGAGTTTAGTTGGGTCCTCTGTTCAGGGTCTTACCAGGCTGAAATCCAGGGGTGGTAATTTTATTAGAGACTCAGAACCCTTTCCAAACTTACTGGTTGTTGGCAGAATTAAATTCCTTGCAACTGTAGGACAGAAGTTCCCATTTTTGTGCTGGCTGTCTATCCGGACAACACTGTTTCCAGAGTCTGCCCTCAGGTTCTTGTGACATGGCTTCCTCCATAGGCCTTCTTGCAACATGGAAGCTTAGTTCTTCAAGGACAGCAGGACAATCTCTTTCCATTCTTCTAGGGTAGAATCTTATAATGTAAGTGATCCAGTGACTATCACATCACTTTTGTCATATACTGTAACCTAACCAAGGGAGTGACTTGTATTCTCTGGTCCCACTCAAAAGGAAAGGATTGCACAAGATATGTACACTGGGTGAGTTCTCTTAGAATTCTTATAGCAGTCCACTGATATAAAGTACTGGGGTGAGGGGGAAGGGGGAAAGAAGCTACTAGATTTTTAACAACTAGCTCTCATAGGAATGAATATAGGGAGATTTCATGCCTGCCACCAACTGCCGAAGGGCATCAATCTATTCATGACCCAAACGCCTTCCATCAGACCCCACCAACACTGGGGATCAAACCTTAACATGAGGTTTGGAGGGGACAAATATCCAAACCATAGCAGGCTGCAATTAGCGTTCCATACAAAAGGCTTCTCCTTGTTTTGATATATTGATGCAACTTTCTCAGACAGGCAAAATTAAGACCAAGAGACCAGAAAAAACAGGGTTGTAGGGAATTTGAAAATGGTACAAAAGACAAACAATGGGAGCTACTCTGAGTCCCCTCTTTCCCCCACTAAGCTCTAGTCATCAATTATTTGATGTTATTAGTCACTGCCAGTGGACTGGCATATGCATTCACTTTTTAAGTTTCCTTTGCCAGATGCTAAAAGGATTCCCTCTGCAAGGGTTAATACTTTCTGCCTCCTTCACCTATTGAAAATCCAAATTCCTAGCCAGCTCCGTGGCTCAGACTGTAATCCCGCGCCTTTGGGAGGCTGAGGTGAGTGGATTGCCTGAGCCCGCGGGTTTGAGACCCGCCTGAGCAACTTGGCGAGACCTCATCTCTACAATAAACCAAAAAATCAGCCGGGCTGGTAGCGCATGCCTGTAATTCCGGCTACTTGGAAGGCTGAGGTGGAAGGATCACCGGAGCCCAGCAGGCGAGGCTACGGTGTCTGGGTGACCGAGTGAGACTCCAACTCAAAAAAAAAAAAGAAAAAGAAAAAGAAAAAAAGAAAATCCAAATTCCTGACTGGGTTAACTGATTTCACAAGCTAGTGTTATGGGGACAAAGAAACCTCAGTGTTTCAGAGACAAGGACGCTTCAATTGCACCGAGTTTCTTTTCTCAAGAAGCGATGTGAAGACCATATCAAGGAACACTTGTGGCATATGTGTACTGGATAGCACCTTTCCCTTTTTACTTTGCCAGAGACACTGGGGCATCACATCTCTTTCAGTGACTTCTAAGGGGTCATGGCTAGTATTTTTGCCAGAAATATTTCTCACCGCAGTCTACCTCAATGTTGGGATGTAGCATCACTTTAACTTAGAAAAAAAGGATAAAGGCTGCAGAACTTGCTCACCCACATCACTACGAACACCTGGAGGAAAATCCAAACTTGAAACTACCGTTTTTCCTTTCCCTTTTCATTCATGTCATGTCTCCTTCTCCTCTGGCAATACAAGTCACTTAAAACCCTGGGACCTATACTGTTGGCAGAGCAAACAGACATAAACTGGGGCAAACTTTATAATGGGGTGGGGGTAAATCTGTGCAACCATTTTTATTCAAACTCCTTCACCCCTCTCTAATTCAACAAATAAGACAAAGAGAACCAAATGTGGATTCCATTGGGAATTCAAGTTCAAAATTTTCCTTTATTTTTAGGATATCAGTTACACAATTAAAAAAAAAAACCAAAATACATAATTTTGTTGCCACTGAATTTTAGCAAGGCCCCAAATATGATCAGTTCAAACAATTACCCCTCCCTGTGCTATTTATGCAATGTAGTGGGGGAGGCTAAAAAAAGAAAAAGAAAAAATCCAATGTCTACAGCTGGGCATAGACAACATACTTTCCATTCCTTTCTGCCTCAGCATCAAAAATTCTTGGAATTCTAGAGATGGTCCAATGGTTACCCCTACCACCAGGTCTAAGTATCATATGAATATTTACTTCATTCTAATGCAAATGTAGGGGAAAAGCTGTTTCTTTTAGTACAGTGGAGACAAAAACTGAGCTTTTCAGAACAAAGGTTTATTTAAGAATTAGGGCAAAAAAAAAAACCAAAAAAACAAAGCTTAAGAATACATCAAATGAATACAAATTATCTAGTTTGGTCTGAAATCTTGAAAAAGTTATTCTAACTACTTACCTGAGGTAGACTTAGGTTGGCACTGCTTCAGGGGAACCTCCATCCATGCCAAAAGTTACCTTCTAGTATTGATTACAGGCTCCCAAGTGGTCCTCTCCAACCTCAGGTTATGCTATATGAATTATGCCAACACCTTTTCCTCCCATGGTTAAAATCTCTCAGATTTGTTTCACACCCCCAAAATTCTCTGCTTGAGGGATAGTCCATTGTTAATTTACTTAAAGACTAGACACAATTAACTAATAAGAATAATTGAAAGAAGGGGCAAATCACTGCCCTACTAATGATAACAACTTTGTCCCCTTCTCCAAGTTCTCTCTAATGACTAACAAGTAGTCATAAAGACTAATTTTCATCACCACCATGCCTTACACCCAACACTTTTTAAGTATATTACAACTGTCAAACATATACTAGTGATAGGCATGATTTTCACCAAAGAGAAAAAATACATCTTCTGTGTCTTATCACACTGGGCAACTTTTCATGGTACAAGAGCTATTTATAAAAATTACTAAAATCCATCAATTCAATAAATTTCCAGGACCTGTTTTCTAATAGAAGAAAAAAAATCAGACTCATTATTATTACTATGAGCTATAGTCACTGGCTCTAATATTCTCACGATCACCAACCAGTCATTAGCATCAAAGCTTAGAGCAACACATAAGGTAGCAGTGTGGCAACTGGCCAACTCCATGAATCCAAATGCCAATTCTCTGGAGTTCAGGGATCTGTTAGGATAAATTAAATCAAAACTGGAGGACTCAGACTAGCAACAAAATATTTATTCACCAGTCTGCAGAGTCCAAAATAATATAGAATTCTGCATTGAATGTCTTTTGAGGGAAGAAAAAACTGAGAAGTGACTATTAATATATCCCTAGATTAATTATAGTATTTCTAGGAAATGTTAAAGACAATCATAATTATCCTGTTAAACTGAAGACAAGTTCTTGCTTATTCTTAAACCTCTGATGAATCTACCTACTACTCTTCCCTTCAAGCATTTTGAATCCTGCATACCAAGCCAAATATATACCTTATATTGTGGTGATTGCAATCCTTTCTCTGGGATTAAAAGGCATTTTCTCTTTCCTTGACAGAACTGAAATAAATGAAAGATGTATCATTATGGGGCTTGATTTGTTATAAACAGCAGGATAATGGAATAAAGGAATGTCAGTTTTGGAATCAGGATACTTAAATTTAAAAAAGGTCTTGTTCCTTTATTAATAATGCATCACTAATGTGTTTGTTACTCTGTCTACTCAGGCCTAAACTTTTGTCTTCCCCTAGCCATTTTACTAGAAGTTGACCTTGGATGTCTATCACTGAAAGAGATGACAGTCACAAAAATATGAATACTAACAACATCACAACCATTATCCTGGAATTTGTATTAAGAGTTAAAAAGAAATGAATCTCTAAAATCAAATTTTCATATACCAGTAATAACCTGAAAGATATTTTAGGGAAAAGGAAACTTTTGAGGATATATCTCAACTCACACTAAGTAAAAGTCTGAGTATTCTGCTTCTTTATGCAGTTGATCCTACAAAAGGAAAACTACTGAGAGAGTTTTGATTGGGGATAACTACTCCCTAGCTTCTTAGTTCATTTCACTGTCAGCAAAGAGTCCCTTGTTACTATCAACATACTAGTTCCACTCTAGCTAAGAATAAAAATAAACCGAGACAAAGTCAATATACTCCTTTTCCCCAACAGTAACACATGCCACACCTTCTATCACAAGGTTACAGTCCTTTCCTTTATTGGATTTCTGAATTTTTAGAAAGTAAAAGCAATAATTAAGTGGTTCAGATAAAAGAAAAGCATCTTTACCTGAGTTACCCATCAGGTCTACTCTGACCTGTCCTAGCTTCTCCCAGAACAAGCTTCTGGGTATCTAAAAGAACTATTTCCATACTGATTCCATTTAAAGTCATCTATACCATATTGGCCAACTAACTATGAGAACAGTTCTTCTCACACATATTATATGTACACAGATTCTCACCTACAATTAAATCTCTCACTGGAGCAAACTTCTTTGCAGAATGGGTTCTTTGTGGCCCAATTAAGAGCTTTTAGCAAAGCTTTTTTCAGACTCAAGGTATTTATGGGGTTTTTCACTTTTATGAGTTCCCTGATATACCACAGAGCTGACATTGACAAGCTTTCTCATTCAGACACTTGTAAAGTCTTTCCTCAGATTGGGTCTTTTTTTGGGTGCAAACCCAAATAAGGCTCTCCAACTAATGCTTTTGCCACACTCAAGACAAATACACAATTTTTCACCAGTATGGCTTCTCTGATGAGTAAGAAAGTCAGAGTTCTGTTAGAAGCCTTTTTCATGCTTGCTGGGACTTCTCCCCAGGGTGGGTTTTCTGAGATCCAATGAGATATGCATATCGTCTGAAGCACTGTTGACACTGAAGGCATTGAAAAGGTTGTTCTCCAGAGTGAATTCTCTCACAACAAAGAGGGCTGAGCACTGCTAGAAAGCTCTCTAACACTTACTGCATTTGTAAGGGTTCCCACCTGTATGAATCCTCTTGTGAGCAATCAAATTCAAGTTCAGACTGAAAGTTTTCCAAAACTCCAGGAGTTTGTGGAGTTTTCTCATTGGAGTGACTGTTACGGTGTTTTATTAGGGCAGCTCTCTGGGCAAAGCATTTCTCATACTCCCTACAATTGTAGGCTCTCTGGTTCCCACTGAATTCTGAGCTCTGAGGAAAGTCTGAGATTTACCTGGGATTCTTAATGAGTTATTTCACATGAAAATACACATTTTAGGTTATTATAACTTCTTATCTGGTCAAGACATTTGTGAGGCTTCTGATGCATGGGGAGGGCTGAGCTCAAGACCTTTCTCACCCACATTACAGATATATGGTTTTTCACCAATGTGTACTGTCTGATGTTGGAGAAGGGCTGAGCTCTGGTGAAAGCTTTTGTCACATACACTGTATTTATAATGTAGCTCCTCTGTCTGAGTTCTCATTTTCTGTTGGGCAACAAAGTCCATACCTAGAAGGAAGCCACTTTCACATGTAGACCACTGATGTGGTTTCTCTTCCATGTGAATTCTCTGATGCACAATAAGATCTGAGCTACAGTTGAAACTTTTCTCATATTCAAGGCATTTAAAAGTATGAGTGTGAGTTGCCTGGTGCCTAATTAGGTTAGCACTCCGAGTAAAACTTCTCATACATTCCAAGCATTTATACGGCTTCTCACCTGTGTGTACTCTCTGGTGCACGATAAGGTCTGATTTCTGGCCAAAGCATTTCTCACAGGCACCACACTTATAGGGTTTCTCCCCAGTATGAACTCTTTTATGTACAATGAAGGCTGAACGGTGTCGGTAACTTTTCTCACATTTATTACATTTGTAGGGTCTTTCACCAGTATGAGTTCTCTGGTGGCTAATAAGATCTGATTTCCCACTAAAAGCCTTTTCACACTCTAGACACTTAAATGGTTTCTCACCTGTGTGAGTTCTTCGGTGCCTTATGAGGTTTGTACTTCTGCTGAAGCATTTATCACACTCACTACATAGATATGGTTTCTCACCAGTATGGCTTCGCTGGTGGACAAGCAGATCAGAACTCTGACCAAAATTCTTGCCACAAATGTCACATGTATAGAATTTTTTACCTGCATGTGTCCTCTGGTGTCCTGAAAGGGCTAAGTGGTGCCAAAAACTCTTCTCACATTTGCTACATTTATAAGGTTTCTCATAATTGTGGATCCTCTGGTGTGAAATAAGATCTGAGCTTTGGACAAAGGTTTTCTCACACATATCACATCTATAAGATTTCTCCCCTGTATGGGTTCTCTCACACATAATAAGAGCTAAGTTTTCACAGAAGTTTTGTTCGCACTCAAGGCACTGGTATATTTGATCATCTATTTGAGTAATCTCATGGACATGAATAAAAATCTTTTTACCCTTCTGAGGGCACATATGATATATTTTCCTTTTTTGAGTTCTCTGGTTACATCTCTCTTCTGAAGTGTACATTTTCTATGGCTCTCTCCTAGGGAGTTTTCCACTGGTCTTTGTGACCCATCATTGCCTTCACAGTCATTTTCTTGATAAGAATTTGAAGATACATCTGTTTCAAGACTTTTAGTCATGAGCCTCTACAAGTTTCCAGCATGGTATACACTGATTCCTTAGTTGGTATTTCCAAACCTGTGAGACAAAGTAGAAATATTTATATTCCTATAACTTCGGTCATATATTTATATTCCTATATCTCCTTTAGTCATTAAGATTAAAAGCATTGCACAAAAGATAGAAATTATGTACAAGAAAGAGTCTATAAGCCTTCTAGGTTTTGCATGGACTGAAATCAGTTATTTGGTTTTCCATTTTGTTAAATATAAAATTGATCAGCAATACATATGAAAAACTACCAATAAGAACTCTTTCTTTTATGAATCTGGGTGATCTCAAAACTGGACTCTTTTTCTTCCCCTTGCTGCAGCTGAGAACTCAACACAGGTCTAATAATTAGTATGCCCGCTTATGGAGAAACTAGACCAAAAGAGACTGTGAATAAATATCTCTGCAGTCCTTTCTGCAGAAATGTTTGAAAGGAAGTAATTAACAACCATTAGAATTCCTGGTGATCAGAAAAAGAAGTAAGGTTCCTATGACTCTATCTTCCTAGCTATGTAATGTAAGGCAAGTTTCTTAACCACTCTATGCCTAGTTTCTCATCTGAAAAAATGAATTAATAATAAAAACTAGGGTTTGAGTTGAATAATAAATCACTATAAATCTCATGGCAAGTACTCTGTGTTAGTTCTCATTCTTATTATTATTATAATAAAGGGACCTAAGATTCTGCTTTGATATAATTATATAAGCACAAACCTTGCTCAGAAAGAAAATTCATGGCTGACTATAGATGAAATCCTAGGCTTGGAGCGCAGCTTTTATACCAGGCTTTTCTTTGTAAAACTTTGTAAAGCTTTGCTGGTAGACAAGTAGATCAGAACACTGTGACCAAAATTCTTGCCACAAATATCGCATATATAGAATTTTTTACCTGCATGTGTTCTGTGGTGTCCTTACATACAGAAAAGTCACAGTGATATAATTCTCTTTCATAACATTAATAAAAACGTTCTGTGCTTAGGCTCCAAATGCTTTCACTTTTCCTGGATAAGGATTAATCTTCAAGTGACTAGAAGATTAAAAAGGAGAGAGGGGGTAGATTGTGATCTCTGTAATCAGTAACTGTTTTCCCTAAGGCAAGCCTACTAGAGAGTTAAAGATGTCATAGAGAGATATAGACTAATGTTAAGGAAAACGGTGAGTTGCTTCAAGAGAGAAGTTCAGAAGGAGCAAGAAGTAACTACATTTATCAACTACAACACCATATTAAAGAACATGAGAAATAAAAGAGAGAAAAAGCCATTTTCCATGTCCTTCATGTTATTCAGTGACCTTTTCGCATGTTTGACCCTCTCCTCATACATTCCTCTCACCCCCATTCTTCACCTAAGAAATATAAGCTGATAATTTTGCTAAGAAAATGGAAGCAACAAAACAACAACACACACATGCACAACAAAAAAAACCCTTTCCAATGCTCCTATCACATCAACCAACCTCCTCATCCAAGTGTAGTCATACACTCCACCTTTCCTTCTGTCACCATGGATGACAAACTGCCCCTGCTCAATCTAAGGACAGTCTTCTATCTGTGTACTGGATTATAACCCCTTTCTTCACAAGGACATCACTTAAGCAATTCTATTTTCCCTCTCTTACATGATCAATTTACTCCCTTCTACCAGATCATTCTAATTAACAAACTGGTTATTATTTCTCTTCTAAAAAATAAAAGCACAACCCACAAGAAAACTTCTCTCAGTCACCTAACCCTGGAGCTACTGTCCTGTTTCTCTCTTTCTCCTCACAGTAAAACTCCTCAAAAAGAAATACACCTGTTCAGTATCTCCAATCCTTGTCTTCCAAGGTTTCTGGAACGTATTGTAATCAGACATTCACCCTCACCTCTCCATCAAAAGTACTCCTCTTAGAAGCCCTCAAGAGCCTAAGAAATCTGACTCCTATTTACCACTCTTGACTCATTTCCCTGCTCTTCCCCTACTTACTCACTGTACTCCAGTTACCCTGGGTTTTGCTATTGTTCAAACAAGCCAGATCCGCTCCCATTTATGGTGTTTATACTTGCTATCTTTTCCTGGCTGAAGGGCTCTTCTTCCAGATTATTTTCAAGGCGCACTTCTTAAAATCTTTGCTTAACTGTCATATTCTCAGTGAGGCCATTTCCAGTCATGCTATTCTAAATTATAACACACTTCCATCCAAGCTGACCCACACAAACAACACTCCTCTCTTTTCTTGTCTTGTTTTCTCCACAGAAGGTAAGCCCCTAAAGGACAGGAATTTTTTGTTTGTTTTATTCACTGCTGTTTCCCTAACACCTAGAACAGTGTCTGACACATAGTAGGTACTCAATCCTAGAACAGAGGTTCTTCTTTGGCATCCATAGACTCCTAGATAGCTTATGAAACCTTTAAAATTGACTATAAAATCTTGTTCAATATATGTGCATTTTTCTAAGGAGGAAGTCCACCATTCATTGAATTCTCAAAAGGGTCCAGTATCCAAGAATTTGGATATTAGACCAGAGGCTACACATCCATTTGTAAAGGAAACAATATTAAAACTCACTAAATACAGCACACTAGAGTAAGTGTAATGGACCAATTAGAAAACCAGCCTCCTTTTTCTACTGTTCTTCTCTGCACACCTTCCAATCCAGCCACAATGGCCTCCTACGGGGAAGTCATCCAGACAAACTCCCCTTAGGGCCTTTGTCCTTCCTTTCTTCTGCTGGCTTTCCCCAGTATGTGCCTGGTTCTCTCTTAACTCCTTCAATGACTATTTTCTCAGACGATAATTCTCAGGAAGGCCTTTTCTGACCACCCTACTTAATGTTGTGAATTGTCCCCATGTCCTAGCATTCCTGATCCCCCTTTTCTGCTTTACTTTTCTCCACAGCACTTATCATCTTCTAACACACTACATAATTTGCTTATTAGTTTATTGCCTATTGTTAAAATATGACAAGGATGTGTTTTGTGTGATGCTCTTTCTGTAGTACAGAGAGTAATGCCAGACACAAAATAGGTGCTTAATAAGCACCTGCTGAGTGCATGAATGAATTCTCATTTAAATTCGGCCTCTCTCTTTGTCTGACAAAAGGACTGAATACCACAGGGGTAGGAAGTACTCTGATAGGATGAAGTCTGAGAAACAGCAGGTACATTTCAAAAGACAGACGGAAATAACTGCAGTTTACCTAGAATCCATACGGAAGAAAACATTCACTTCTTGGTGCTGAGGATTTGATTTCTGAAGGAAGAGAGCAATCTGTAAAACACAAGACAAGAAAAGGATAAAAAGTCATAAATGAGAGAATTTTGCACTAGATCATTTCACTCAAAGGACCTATGTAACCATAGTCTTGAACCACCCCACATGATGTTTTCAAAAAAAGGACAATAAAAAATCTATATCCTATCAAAATCCCAGCAACTTATTTTGTTGATATTGATTTACAGATACTAAAGTTTTATGAAGAAGCAAAACACCCGGATTAGTTAACACAATATTAAAAGAGAACAAAGTTGGCAGACTGGCGCTACTCAACTTCAAGACATACTATACTTGAAGCTACAAGACTAAAACTATAGTAATCAAGAAAGTGTCGTATTAATGAATGAACAGAAAGTGTCGTATTAATGAATGAACAGATAAATCAATGGAAGAGAACAGAGTTCAAAAATACACCCACATAAATAAAGTAAGCTGATCTTTGACAAAGGAGCAAAGGCAATACCCGCTAATGTCTGTCCATATTGCCACAGCCCCTAGAGAAGGGCATGGCAAGGGTTCAAGTGCTCCTGTACACTCCCAAACACATTCCTGAGAGCTAATAAAAGGTGCGCTTCCCTTTATCTCCTATGCACTCCCAGTAAGCAGCTTCCAGGGATCCTTGACTTCCCTGAAGATTATGCCCAATCAACTGAAAGATGTAAATCCCCATTCACTCCCTTTTCTTAGTAGTCATAGGTTTGAATAATGTAGTATCAATGTAATGGTAAGTCTTGTGATTTGTATAACTTTTGAATCAATATAACTTGTGTAATGCATGATGTCTTAGGCCTTGTAAACTCCCTTTACTCTATGGCAGGCTTGATTAACAATTCTACCCGGGCCTTACTGATAAAAGCTATGAGATACCTCTGGTACCTGGCACCAGGAAGTCTGGACTGTAAAATGCCAGCATCAATAAAATGCAGCTGTAACTTAAGTTCTATACAATGCTCTGCTAGTCATGTGGTTAATGTATAGGTACCAATAACTCTGGACTAATAAAAATGGATTGTAAAGCCTGAAGGGTGAGCAGAACCATTTTAGAAAGGCCTCGAGTCCAGCTCTGCTCCCTGGATTCAAATTCAGAAATAAACATCTTTCTACCAGTTTTTCTGCCTCTCAATTGATTGGCATCCAGTGTTAGCAGCTGAGTGTTTACTAGGACTATAAAACATCCACATGTGAAAAAATGAATCTGGACACAAAACTTACACTCTTCACAAAAATTAACTCAAAGTGGATCACACAATGGAAGAATGAATAAAATGTGGTATACATACACAATGGAAAACTATTCAGCCTTAAAAACAGAAGAAAATCCTGTCATTTGCATTAATATAGATAAACCAGAAGGACATTATGTTAAGTGAAATAAGATAGGCACAGAAAAACAAATACTACATGATCTCACATATGGAGTGTAAAAAGATCTAACTCATAGAAACAGAGAATAAAATGGTGATTACTAGAGGCTGGGCTTTAGGGGCTTGAATAGAGGTTGGTCAAAGGACACAAAATTTGTTAAACAGGAGGAATAAGTTCTAGAGATCTACTGTAAAACATGGTGACTACAGGTAATGCATGTTAAATAGCTTGATTTAGCCATTCCACAATGTATACAAATATCAAAACTTCATGTTGTATACCATAAACACATCAATTTTTCTTGTCAATTAAATACAATTTTAAAAACCTCAAATAAATCAGAGACCTAAATACAAAACATAAAATTGCAAAACTCGGCCTGGCATGGTGGCTCAGCCTGTAATCCTAGCACTTAGGGAGGCCAAGGAGAGTGAATTGCCTGAGCCCGCAGGTTTGAGACCAGCCCGGGCAACTTGGCGAGACCTTGTCTCTACAATCAATCAAAAAATTAGCCGGGTGCGGTAGTGTGCACCTGTATTTCCAGTTACTTGGCAAGCTGAGGCAGAAGGATTGCCAGAGCCCAGCAGGTCAATGCTGGGGTGGCTATGAGTGTGTCATTGCACTTCAGCCTGGAAGACAAAGTGAAATGCTAAATAAAAATAAATAAATAAATTCTAAAATGCCCAGAAAATAACATAGGAGAAAATCTAGATGATCTTGAGTACGGCAATGACTTTTTAGATACATTAAAGGCATGACCCGTGGAAGAAAACTGATAAGCTGCACTCCATTAAAATTAAAAATTTCTGCTCTATGAAAACATTGTCAAAAGAATGAGAAGACAAGCTATAGACCATAAGAAAATATTTGCTGAAGACATATCTGATAAAAGACTGTTATTCCAACTAAAAAAAATTCCAAGCAGAGCACAGTGGCTCACATCAGTAATATCAGGACTTCGGGAGGCTAAGGCAGGAGAATTGCTTGAGCACAGGATTTTGAGATCAAGCTCGGCAACATGACTTCATCTCCTAAAAAAAAAATCAAAACAATTAGCCAGGCATGGCGGTGTGCACTTGTAGTCCCAGCTACTCAGGAGGCTGAGGTGGAAGGATTGCCTGAGCCCAGGAGGTTGAGGCTGCAGTGAGTCGGAATTGAGCCACTGCACTCCAGTCTGGGTAACAGAGTGAGACTCAGATGCAACAAAACAAAACAAAACCCAAATATACAAAATAGATGATATTCTCTTAAAACTCAACAACAAACTGGATTACAAAATGAGCAAGTCATGAAAGGCACCTCATCAAAGAAAATATACAAATGGCAAATAAGCGTATGAAAAGATGTTCAAACTGGGCTCAGTGGCTCAGCCTGTAATCCCAGCGCTTTGGGAGGCTGAGGTGAGTGGATTGCCTGAGCCCGCGGGTTCAAGACCTGCCTGGGCAACTTGGCGAAACCTCATCTCTACAATAAGTCAAAAATTAGCTGGGCGTGGTAGCGTGCACTGGTAGTTCCAGCTACTTGGAAGGCTGAGGCGGAAGGATCGCCAGAGCCCAGCAGTTCGAGGCTGCAGTGGCTGGGAGCGGCCACTGCATTCCAGTCTGGGTGACAGAGTGAGACTCCATCTCAAAAAAAGAAAAAAAAAAAGAAAAGATATTCATCAACATATTTTTAGGGCAATGCAAATTAAAATCACAGTGAGATATCACTATATATTCATTAGAATGGTAAAATACAAATACTGCCAACATCAAATGCTAGTGAGAAATGTAGAGCAACAGGAACTCTCATTCACTGTTGGTGGAAACACAAAGTAGCACAGCCACCTCGGAAGAGTTTGGAAGTTTCTTATAAAAATAAGTATACATGGGCAGGGCATGGTGGCCCACACCTGTAATCCCAGCATTTTGGGAGGCAGAGGTGAGAGAATGGCTTGAGCCCAGGGGTTCGAGACTAGCCTGGGCAACTTGGCAATACCTCGTCTCTACAATAAGTAAGTAAGTAAGTAAATAAACAAATAAATAAAAATTAGCTGCGAGTGGTGGTGCATCTATGGTTTCAGCTACTTGGAAGGCTGAGGCAGAAGGATCACCTGAGCCCAGCAGTTCAAGGGTGTGGTGACTGTGAACATGCAATTACACTCTAGTCTGGGCAACAGAGTGAGGCTCTAAAAAAAAAAAAAAAAAAAGAAAAAACTAAACATATGCTTACCATATGACCCAACAAGAACATTCTTTGGTATTTACAGCCAAATGAGTTGAAAAAGCATGTCCATACAAAAACCTGCACACACATGTTTATAGCAGCTTTATTCATAATTGCCAAAACTTGGACGCAAACAAGATGTCCTTTAATAGGTAAATGGATAAAGTATGGAACATTCAGACAACAGAATATTATCCAGTGCTAAAAAGAAATGAACTCTTGGTCAGGTGTGGTGGCTCACACCTGTAATCCCAGCACTTTGGGAGGTGGTGGTGAGAGGATTGACTGAGTCCAGGGGCTCAAGACCAGCCTGGCAACTTGGTGAGACCTTGTCTCTACAATAAATCAACAAAATTAGCCGGGCGTGGTGGCACAAAGCTGTGGTTCCAGCTACTTGGAAGACTGGGGTGGAAGGATGGTCTTAGCTCAGCAGGTCAAGCCTGTGGTGGCAGTGAATGTGCCACTGCACTCCAGCCTGGGTGACACTGAGACTCTGACTTAAAAAAAAAAAAAAAAAAGAAAGAAAAGGAAACAGAAATGAACTATTAAGGCATGAAATAATATGGAGGAACTTTAAATGTGTATTACAAAGTTAAAGAAGCAAACCTGGAAAAACTATATACTGTATGAGTCCAACAATATGACATTCAGAAAAAGGCAAAACTATGGAATCAGGAAAAAAAAATCGATGCTTATCAGGGGTTAGTGAGGAGGAAAGGATAAATTGGGGGAGCACAAAGGCCTTTCAGGGCAGTGAAACTATATTGTGTACTATAAATAGTGGATACATGTCATTATACAATTTGCCAAAACAGATAGAATGCACAACATAAAGAAATTAACACTAATGTAAACTATGTAGCTTGAGTGATAATGTGTCCACCTAGGTTCACTGATTCTAAGAAATGTAGCACTCTGGTGTAAGATGTTGACAGTAGGGGAATGGTGTGTGTGTGTGTGTGTGTGTGTGTGCGCGCGTGCGCGCCCGCACGCGCATGTGTGTCTGCTGCTGGAAAGGGGAGTAGTAGCGGACATATGTGGACTCTCTGTACCCTTTACTCAATTTTGCTGTGAACCTAAAAGTGTTCTAAAAGATAAAATCCATTAAAAAGTGATAAGAGAAATACCATTTGTCAACAATCTTTGTTGTCACCGCCTCAGCTCTAGCACAGATCAGCAGGCATTAGACTCTCATAAGGAGCTCACAACCTAGATCCCTCACATGTGTGGTTCACAATAGGTTTATGCTCCTATGAGAATCTAATGCCACCATTGATTTGACAGAAAGCAGAGCTCAGGTGGTAATGTGGTGATGGAGAGTGACTAAATACAGATGAAACTTTGCTTGCTCACCACCACTCACCTCCTGCCGAATGGCCCAGTTCCTAACATTGGTTCATGGCCTGGGGCTTGGAGACCCCTAATTTAGGTATCTATAGAGACATCAGAAATGCGTGTGTGTGTGTGTGTGTGTGTGTGTGTGTGTGTGTGTGTGTGTGTGTGTGAAGTTGTGTTTTCTTTCTAGTAATGTCTACAGAGAAGTCACAGAAACAACGAAATCTTAGTAGTAATGAGCACACCAGGCACCAGTTCTTGGTTTCTAAATACCATTCTCCCCTGAAAGAAATCAATACTCCTTGGAGAAATGGCTGATTCCAGAGTTTGGAAAGTACAAGATGAGCCTGGATCATCCTGTTGTGCCAGAAAGGAAGTGCTGAAAATGGGGTGGAATATGTCAAAAGGATCCATGCATCAAGATAGAGGGGCTGTCACTATACAAATCTGGAATAAATAGAATATCAAAATAAATAATAATAGTAATAAATTAGTAACAAAACAAGAATCCATGAATCTGGACTCCCAAAAAAATATATAAATAAAGAAGGAGAAGAAAATTTTTTTCACTAGAAAGCCAACAATTAAGTGTAGAAAAAGTGATGAATCTTAAAAAATCATCAGGTCAATCAAAAGAAGAATATTGTGTGAAAATCAAGATATTTACACAATCTGAAAATACCTCCCCGTTAGATATTTAATAATTAAAAAGACAAAAAAGTAACTTCACAGTTTATAAACCTGACAGACAACATCTTAATCAAGTGATTAAAGTTAACACTACTAGTAATGAGAAAAAGCAACATCATGTGTCTCCTAATATGATGTAGAGAAGAATATAACATCACTCCTGTAATATCTTGCCAAAAATGTACAAACTGAATCTTGTCATAAGGAAACATCAGGCAAACTCAAATTGAAGTAAATACTACCAAATAAATGGCCTAAATTTTTCAAAAAATGTCAAGGTTATGAAAGACAAAGTCTGAAAATATGTTCACAGTAAAGAAGATATTATAATTAAATAAAAATGAATGATGCTGAATCAGATCTTGGAACACAAAACAACTTTTTTTCTTCCTTTTGCTAGAAATGACATTAATGGATCACCTGGTTAAATTTGAATAAGGTCTGGAGATGACATAATAGTACTTTGTAAGCATTAACTTCATGACACTGATAACTGTAATGATACCTTAAGAGAATATCCTTGTTTTTAGGAAATAAATAACTGCATATTTAGGACAGGCTTTCTTAAATAGAGTTCTGGGAGAGAAATCTTACAGGACATGTATCTGAATAACTGTTTTCTAAATACTCCCAAGGATGGCATGTAGTTAGTAGTACTGAACATGCATACAAGTTAATTCATTATGTATCTTAGAATCTCAGGACTTAATTCTCTCAGTTTGCAAAGAGGCACTATGTCTACTACTTACAAATGGTTCAGAAAAAAGTTATGTGTATATATATGTATGTGCATTGCTAGGGCTTGAATGTGTCCTCCAAAGTTTCTGTGTTGGAAATGTGATCCCCAGAGCGGTAGTGTTGGGAAGTGGGGCCTAATGGGAAGTATTTAATACCATTATTGTGGGAGTGGGTTCCTTATAAAAGGATGAGTTTCGTCCCCTCTTGCGTACTCTCTTGCTTACTCCCACCTTCTCTTTGCCCCTATGCCATGGGGTGACACAACAAAAAGACCCTCACCAGATGCTGGCCCCTCAATCTTGGACTTCCCAGCCTCCAGAATGATAAGCCAATGAATTTCTGTTCATTATAAATTACCCAGTTTGCAGTACTCAGTAATAGCAGCACAAAACAGGCAAAGACGTGTGTATATAGGGAGATAGAATCACAAGGCAAACATGGTAAAATGTTAACATTTAGGAATTATGGGTGAAGAGTATATGGGAGTTCCTTGTACCATTTTGCAATTTTGTGTATGTCTGAAATTATTTCAAAATTAAAAGGTATTTTATTTTGGTTTTTAAAAAACATGATAGCTAAAGGGTGGTATATTTTGGTGGTTAAAACTAAAACTTTAAGCTCTGGACTCAGATTTTGGTTCAAATTCCCACTCTGCTCCTTTATAGCTGTGAGAACTTGGATTAGTTACTTAACTTCCTTCAACTTCAATTTCCCCTTTGGGTAAGATTACATGACTCACAGAGTTGCTATGAGAACTGAGACACTTGGTAAAGGACTAAACTCAACTGAGCAACATAGAACTTGAAAGCAATACAATTAAAGGATGCATGGGATAATCAGACTAAGTAAAGTATTATCCAAAAACTACGTAATGTTTACTGTATAGGCCTTAGGCTCGGGATTACCTTATTTTTTAAATTGATTACATGGACTACCTTAATCAATCCTCCCAAGAACCCAACAAAATAGGTATTAATACCAATGTTTGTACCTTGCAGACAAAAAAAACCTGATGCTTAGAGCAGTTAGATAAACACCTAAGAACTTAAAACTAGTAAGAAGCAGAGTCAGGATTAAATATCCATCTTTTGACTCCAGTCTGCTGCCTAAGCATTGGACATACTGCCTTCTTTGTGCTGAAATCAATCAAGAAGCAATTACTGCACATCTATTATGAATATGCAGGCATGCAGGAAAGGAGTAAAATATACACTTAAATTGGTAGAATAGAGCCCAGTTTTATCACTCTGCTATTTTAGGAGATAGAAAATGGGCATTCTCTTTTTTCAAGTATCTTCTCCCAATCCTTCCTGTCCTCTGCCCTACACCATTTCCCATCCACATTTATATAGGAACAGAGTCTGGTATGCCACTTACCAAAACAAGAAAGACAAGACTGTCTTCCTTTTGGCTCCCAAAGGTCTCTAGTCCAGAACTGTTCACAGCAATCAATTCTCCTCTCCCCTTGGGGAAAAATTAAAAATGTAAAATATGACTGTGAAATTTATAATTTTTCTAGAGCTGGCCATCTAAACATTGGTCCCATTTCTTCTGCAATGTAATTCTTCAACTATATCTTACCTCTTCCCACCTTCAATCATATTTTACCTCCTTCCATCTTTGCTTACATTGTTTCTCCTGCATAAAGTAACTGCCATTGGTAGCCATTAGTTCCTTGCCAACAGCTCCAGACAAAATATCAAGAATCTTTCTGAAAAATAACTAACTTTAACTTCATAACAAAACCTAAGTCCTGTTTTTCTTGTTTGTTTTAATGTTTCTCTTTCTACTAATTGTTTTTGGTTGTATTATCTCAACTTCTAAGGTTAAGGACCCGTTCTTCTAACATTACAAACCCAAAAATGTGTGTGATGTGTATATAATACAAATGTACATATAATTCAGTTTTCCAAAAAGAAGCGGCTATGGGAAAATCAAACAAACCAGATTCTTCTGCAAACAGATTCAACCGCAACCTAACTAATCTCTGCACTGAATATGAGGGGAAAAACTCCACTAAACGTCCTTGGTTACTTCCCCGATCTATATGAAAGATATATATATAGCTTAGAAAAGTGCCTGACAGTGTTTACTATTATTATCTCTAGGAACGACCGTACTAAGGTTCTCTTCTTTCAACTTTCACTGACCGTCTTCCAGTCCTCCATCTGCCGTCAAGGGGGAGCCCAGACCACGCTCGGTGTGGAGGAACAGGGGCTGCTCCCACTCAGCTGTGGCTGGGGGTCTCCAAGCCCGCAGCGTCCCCGCCCCATTCACAGGCCTGCAGGCCGCGCCCCTCCAAGCCCAACCGGCCGCGCTTACCCTGGCAGCCACCGGCGCCGCCCCTAGGCCTGGGGACAGCACTTCCGGTTACTCTCCGGACACTCGAATCTGGGTTTCTAGGCGGCAGCAGATTCCGCGGTGGTGGACCTAAGGGCCCAGGTCTGGAAAGGAAAAGCGCACCCGGGGACCGACGAGAGCTAGGAACAACTCCCTTCGCGCGTTTCGGCTAGGAAAGCTGGGGTCAGGTCGCCCGCTGGGCGCTTTCAGGGCCGACAAGGCCAGCTACGCAAATCCTTTCAGCCCGGCTGGGAAGAGGCCGGCGCAGCCCCACCCCCGCAAGTCACATGATTCCCGTTCTCCGGTGACTAAGGCTCTCCACCCCCGACCGCTGGGCCAATAGGGCCCAAGCCTCCAGAAAGGGGCGGAGCCCTGGGGCGCCTGCGCTCACGGGACCCGGGGCGCGTTGGGGCCGAAGGTACTGTACTGACGTAGTGGGAGGCCGGGTTGTTGCTGGCCGGTCGCGGCTACCTTGTCTGAGGAGAAAGAACGCCAGTAGCTCTGCAGTTTATATTTGCAGTTTCTCCAAGGTTGCGGAAAGAGGACTCAAGCCAAGAGTACCGTTACAGAGATAGATGCCGCGGATCCTGAGGGAAGAGATGGAAGATTGAGGAACACAGCGGAAGCTCTGTCACCCACGAAGATGTAGCCAGCGAGATGGATGAAATGCTTTTGAAAGTGGTGGAGAAAACAGCCGCGGGAGAAAGTACTGTTGGAGGTTCCCCTGTTCTTTCTGATTATGTTTCTGGGCTGGAACCAACTAAGAGTAATCACGTATGTGTGGGCTGGAGCAGAACTGAGAGTTCCTTCAGAAAGAACAGTGTGTATTCTCCCATCTCAGTTCAATGAAAAAAAAAAAAAAACTTTTCAAAGCCTTCGGCTATCAAAGGGGAAAGTTGAATGATAAGAATACATAAGACTAAACCGTGGCCAGTGTGGCCAAGCCAGGTGCTGGGGTTAGGAAGCAGTGAGAACATCATTGGGCTCACGTGTTCAATATTAATTAATCATGTTCGTACTTCTGGAATTCTTCCGCAGAATAGCTGCAGCTTTTTCTTGTTTCTTGTTTGTTTTCAGTGAACTTGCATAGAAAAGTAGCACGTTTCTTTCTTTCTTTTCTTTTTTTGTTTTTTGAGTTGGAGTCTCACTCTGTCGCCCAGACTGGAGTGCAGTGGCCGCTCCCGGCCACCGCAGCCTCGACCTGCTGGGCTCCGGCGATTCTTCCGCCTCAGCCTTACGAGTAGCCGGAATTACAGGTATGCGCTACCACGCCCGGCTGATTTTTTGATTTATTGTAGAGATGAGGGCTCGCTGCCCAGGTGGGTCTCGAACCCGCGGGCTCAGGCAATCCACTCACCTCAGCCTCCCAAAGCGCGGGATTACAGGCTGAGCCACCAAGCCCGGCCGTACGTTTCTTTTTAATGGAACCTCTAAGTAGGGACAAAATATTCCATTCAGGGTTGTCTTAATATTTAAAATAATAACTTTTAATAATTTCTTTTGAGTATGTAGTATGTACTAAACGCTGTTCTAAACACTTTACACATATTATCTCATTCAGTTGTAACAAAAATTGTATGAGATGTGTATTATTCTCTTAGGAGGAAGCTGGTGCACTGAGAGATTAAGTAATTTGCTCAAGATTACATATTTAGCAACTGGTGAAACTGAAATATGAACAGTCTGATACCAGATTCTTTGCTCCAAATCACTATACTTATGACTACCTTAAAAGTGGTGAATGTATTGTGGAAAAGTCTTGGAATAAAAATTAAGCAAACTGGATTCTAATCTGTGCACTGTATATAAGAAGGTCTGAATAAGTTTTGAATTGAGCTCTTCAACCCTTTCAAGAGACATTAGCCCAAGTAAAGAACTTTTTATTCATTGTTTTATTCACATAAACATTTGTTGAGCACCTACAGCCTACCTGACACTATGCTGGGTATTAGGACTTTGAAGGTGGGTAAGACCCAGTACCATTCGTTTAATGACTCACAGTCTAATATGGAGTCCACAGATGTCACAAGTGATGTGGTAAGGTAGAAGTTGCATAAGGTAGTCTGGGAGCATACATGTGGAACACTTAGCTTAGACTTTCAGAAAGAGTTAGAAAAGGCTCTTTAGGGGGTAAAGCATAATGTGAGGCTTGAAGGAATAGAAACAAGGAGTTGGCTATACATGAGACTGAAATGGAAGACAGCATATAACTCACAGGGATATTTGAATGTGATTTCACTTAGTGGATTTTATCGTGTAAGAAATGAGAAGATTCCTGGAATTTCAAGCCATGGAAATAGTTCAATTATCCCCATACTTAAAATTTTTAGAAAGATTATTTAATTTTAATTATGGAGACAAAAATTAAAAACAAGGAGCACCCAGCAATTATCAGGAAAAAAAAATGAATTATGACAACCAAGGGAGGAAAGTTCAATTCAGAGGACTGGATGCAGTGACTCACAACTGTACTTTGGAAGGCTGAGGGAAGATAGCTCAAGGCCAAGAGTTGGATACCAGCCAGGGCAACAAAGTGAGAACCCATTTCTACAAAAAAATAGAAAAATTAGCTGGGTGTGGTGGCACATGCCTATAGTCCCAATTACTTAGGAGGCTGAGGTAGGACAATCTCTTGAGCCCATGAATTTGAGGCTACAGTGAGCCATGATTGTGCCACACTGTACTCCAGCTTGGGTGACAGAGTAAAACCCTGTATCCAGAAAAAGAATCTCAATTCAGAGGTTGTTGGTCAGGTATGGTGACATGAGCCTATAGTCCCAACTACTGGGTGGGCTGAGATGGGAAGATCACTTGAGTCCAGAAGTTTGAGACCATCCTGGGCAATATAGTGAGACTCCATCTCTAAAAAAAAGGAAAAAGAAGTTATTGGTAGTAGTGTCAGACATTACAAAGAGATCAGAAGAGACAGATACACCAAAGAGTATTATTGGATAATATTTACATGGTATAGTATTTACTATGTCCAGGCACTGTTATAGGCACTTTAATAGCTCATTTAATCATCCAACAACACTATGGTGTTTAATCTTAACAATAACACCATTTAGTAAATGAGGAAAGTAAGGTACAGGAAGGTTAAGAAATTTGAGAATAGTCGTGCAGCTGATAAGGAGCAGAGTGGGGATTTAAACCCAAGCAGTCTGATTTCTGAGTCTGTGCTTGTTACCACTATCCTATACTGCTTCCCTGAAAGAAATCTGTGGAGTTTAAGAATCAAGAAGGTTTTTTTTTTTTTTTAACCTTTAGTAAGGGTAGCTTCTGTGGAATGTGGTGGTAAATCAAACAGGGGACACAAGAAGTTTTTTTCTGTTCTTTACTAAACATCAAGGTGACATTTAGCAAAGCTTGGCTAGGGAGATGAACATAGAAAATCCATCTCTATCATAGAACACAGTACTCATACAAGGAGCAGGGCCTAGGGCCTCATGGTAGAAGAAATTTGAACATGTTAAGGGAAAATATCAACAGTGAATGAGGATGAGGATTCAGAAAAGGAGCATTTGATATAGAGAGATCCCTAAGAAGATAGGAGAGGCTGGAATCTGCAACACTGGAGAGGAATTAGCTTTGAACAGGAGAATGAATCTCAAATCAGAGGAAGGAAAATGGATCTGAATTGCTTTGGTCTTGTTCAGAAACTTGTAGAAATTTGGAGGGACCGACCCCAACTAGTCACAGGTATCAGATTCATCAGGCTCCCCATCTGTTGTATTAGCCACTCACCAGAACCTGATTCAGAGGAGCTATATTTTCGGAGAAAAATTGTCTGTCTGATTGGCTCCAAAGATAATCAATAGTATATTTTTAAAAATAAATCACTGTGTTAGTGGTTTAGCAATTCTAATAAGATTGTATTATTGTTCTTCATCTCCCAGTTTCCTAGAACACCTTAGATTTTTTTTTTCACTGGAGTACACCACAGTAAGAGGAGAATGACATACTAAGTTAATTTGGTGTAATATTAATTTAGAGGTTTATTTTATCTTTAAAATTCATGCAATTTGCATTTTGTCTTATGATCTAGTTGGATACTGGAATTAGAAAAGTCAAAAAGTTGGTCCCTATCCTTTAGAAATTACAACTGAAAAGGAAATAGATACATGCATAGTTCAGAGGTCCCAAATCTTTGGGTAAAATTACTGGCATCCTGCTCATCTCCATGACCAACACCAATCAGTGGTGACTTTCTTTTCTACTCAACAAAAACTTAGACTAAGGGTCCTTTTCAATACAATATCCATCGTCAGTCAATCAGAATGCGCTTTGATTTGCTATCTTTGTGCATAACAGACAAGTTTAACTCAATAGGATATGTACTAGAGGAGAGATCTATGCTAAGCATATAGTAAATACTTTAGAGGAATTAGATTACTCTGTGTGGGGGGAGGGGCAATCAGAGGAGACTTTAAAAAAAGAGGTGGACAGTCCATGGCTGTTGTGATAGCTTTGTTCCACAAAATCTTTGGGGAACTCTGCTTTTTATCCCACCATCCCTTATCTGACAGGTAGAGTTTTAACCATCACATTCAGATTTCAGACAGAAGGATGAAGGAAGAGACAGAGAAGAAAAGGCAAAGGGCATGTGCCAGCATTAGTATATCTTGTCCTATCCCATTAATGGCTCCATACTTTTTTTTCTTTCTTTCTTTCTTTTTTTTTTTTTTGAGTCAAGAGTCTCACTCTGTCACCCAGGCTGGAGTGCATGCTCACGACCACCCCAGTATCCACCTGCTGGGCTCAGGCGATCCTTTTGCTTCCATCTATCCTTCCGCCTCCACCTTTCCTTCCGCTTCTGTCTTCAAAGTAGCTGGAACTATAGGTGCGCGCTACCATACCCGGCTAATTTTTTTTTAAATTGATATATGGTAGAGACGAAGTTGCCCAGGCTGGTCTCTAACACCTAGGCTCAGACAGCCCTCTGGTCAGGCCTCCCAAAGTGCTGAGATTACAGGCTTGTGCCACCGTGCCCAACCTCCATACTTTTTTTTTTTTTTTTTTTTTTAACGAGAACACACCTCTGTCCCAAGGAGAATCCAAGGAAATAAATGGAGTTTCTGTCTTGGCCCTCTATCTCATGGCCAGCCTCTTGCTGAAATGGACTTATCTCCCCTTCATGAGTACAAATCAGATTTATAGCCGAAGTGACATTTAGCAGCATCTGGGGCATCTGTCTGTTGTTTTGTCTTGGCAATTATCCTGTCCCTCTTGTGTCTCATTTTGCTAACATCCTTCCAGACTTTTTCTCCTTTTCAGAGTT